GCCCCGTGCTTGAACAAAGACCAGCAATCATCATCCGTCAAACCGTTCAAAACAAACTGTGGTGAATGTGGGAAGTTTATCGATAATGGAATTTTTTGACTGCAGGTAGTGACGATTATTTTGCATCCATTAAGACCCGCTGTAAACAAAGGTCTTAGTTTGTCCCAATCATCCTGGTCTTCCGTCCAAACATCATCCAACACGATCAGATATCTTTTCTTCTGCAGCAATTTCGAAATCCGAGACTGAAGAAGTTCAATCTCCGACGACTTGCATTCATCCTCTGTTGCACGCTCAATGATTGCCTTCATAATCTTCTTGACATTGAAATCCTCAGAAACAAATATCCACATTCTAGAGTCGAAGTGTTGGGAGACCCTCTCATCGTGATATGCCAATTGAGCAAGAGTGGTCTTGCCAATTCCTCCAATACCAGTTATTGGAATACAAGTTGCGTATCCATCCTGGGATGTTTCAGAAGATAGCAACAGTTTGACTAACTGCTCTTTCTCATCATCTCTTCCATATATCTTTGAGTAGTCGACGCAAGAGACAGACTCCCTCATGCCAGGTCGTTGATCTCCATATATCTTTGGCTCGCTAAATTTAAATGCCGAGAGTCCCTCCTTTATCGTCTTTTCTAATCTGTGGAGTGCCTTTTTAATTTTTTCAGACCCCGCACTCAGACCCCATGGGAAGTGGATGTCGCTTTTGCTAGGGATAAAAAAGTCCAGAAGGTCCTCGGCATCAGAAGCAGCATTCTTGAGGTTTGACAACCAAAGCCTCACATATTTGTTGGTTATTTGTTGCTCCTCTGCTTCTTGAAGAATAGCTTGAGTCCTCATCAAGGCATTTCGTAGGCTGTGGAAGTTGTCCTCGACACCGCAGATATCAGCAAGCTTTTCTAGGGCTGGGGATGCCAATCTGTCAAAGATCACTTGCAAAGCAGGGGATAAAACTATGCTTGCTGCTGCTTCCATTTCTAGCAGCAACAACGGCAAAACAAAACAAGGCTGAGATGATGAGAATAGTTGGATCTGGATATGGAAATGGAATGGATCTGAAGAGAATTACAGTTTGGATGATGAGAATAGTTAGCTTTGAGGGACTTTCAAAAGCCAGCTAATATGTGGTTCACACTCAAAGTCAAGGTATTTCATCCAAGTACGTACTTTTCTTGTTTGCTTCATGGTGGAGAATTGGAGATATAGATATTTGTTTCTCTCTTTTCATCTTTTTCTCTTTGCTCAATATTTCCACCCACCTACTTTTTTCTTTTCTTTTGCTAATACTTTAACGCTACCTTATTTTCATCAAGGAGGCTTAATTATCCTCATACTCCTTAAATTATCCTATGTCTTATTCATTCATCTTTTTGAAAAGAATTTATCTGATTCTTCCCCATTTTCTCACTAGCATTTAGTTCCTACTCTTTTGTCCTTTTTCTTTTCTTTTCTCAAGTATTGGGTCCTCTCTTTCATTCATTTGTAAAAAAGGGGACCCAAAATCTGTCGTATTGGTTGATTACATTATGGCCCAAGGAACTTAAGAGCCTATTCCAAAACTGAAACTTATCAAATTTTTTATGTTTCTATTTTGTACAAAGTCACATTGGGTATATCGATGAAGGCTCTTAACTATTTGAGCGACAAACGTGTGTTGCAAAAATTGTTTTTACACATGGAATTATTCCCCGTTAAGTTATATGCTGCTACCCTCTCTCCTACGTAGTCACATTGGTAAGCACCACAACTCATTCTTTTTTTGAAAATTAGCGATAGTATTGCATAAGACAAAGGTTACATGAGGTCGGCAAGCAAATCCTTCTGAATAAAATCAGGAGGCTGCTCCCAAAAGCAAACTTGCTGAGTTGAAAGTGCAAAACGAGCGATACAGTGTGCTACATTATTGCCTTCTCTAAGAACATGGGATAGAGTGTTGAAAGTATTTGTCCCACATTGAAAAGTTAAGGGACCAAGCCTGGGTTTATAAGGAGTTGGGCAACTCCCTCCATTGCCAATTGGTTTTGGGGTGGAACCTCAACTTCCTTCATGGTATCAGAGCAAGGCTTCACGTGTTGGGCCCAACGGCCACACGTGCTCTCACGTCACCCAATATGTGTTGTTCACGTGTTAGGCTTGAAAGTTCGCCACACGTGCGGGGGCGTGTTGAGAGTATTTGTCCCACATTGAAAAGTTAAGGGACCAAGCCTGGGTTTATAAGGAGTTGGGCTACTCCCTCCATTGCCAATTGGTTTTGGGGTGGAACCTCAACTTCCTTCATAGAGAACAAGAATCATCTGGCATCATCAATGAAGCGACCCAGCTCTGAGGTGTCATTGTTGGGGCTATTAACAGCAAGGACAAGAGCCTGTGAGTCGCTTTCCAAAGCCACAGGAATGCCCAGCCAAGTTTGAGCAACAGCTAATCCTTCGAGAAGAGCCAGGGCCTCCACATGTGCAGGGGAAAAAACATTCCCGAAGCATCGAGCTCTGCCACCCAAGAAACCACCTTGATCATCACGAACAACAATACCAACTCCCCCCATACCAGTGGCGGGATTGAAGGCCCCATCAACATTGATTTTGACTAATCCAGGGGGAGGTTTATGCCATCTTACATGATGCCTGGTGCTAGGAGGCTTGGCAATAAAGTTGAGGCTGTGATACTCCAGGAGGAGATCCATCGCAGAAGAAGCAATTTCCACAGGGTGGTGCCTCTCATTGGACCAGACGCGAGCATTTCTCTCGTTCCATAGGGCCCACCATAAAATCATAATTTGTTCAACACTAGATTTTGAGCAAGTGTCAAAGACTCTGTTCAGCAAGAACTTCAAGCTCGATTCAGCCCCATCCTGAAACCAAAGGCCCATTGGACTGGTAGACCACAGAGAAACCGCAAAAGGGCAAGATAGGAGAACATGGAAGGCTGACTCCTCTGTCTTACCGCAGAACACACAACCAAGCAGGTTCCCATCAACCCCACGAGTGATCAACCTATCCTTGGTTGGTAAGATATTTTGTGCAACTCGCCAAATGAAATGACGGACTTTTGGTGGAACCTTAGCCTCCCAAATGTGCTTCCAGAACTTGGTCCCATAAGACTCAGTCGAAGAGGAGGCCAACTCATCCTCCATCAACATCAAACGACGGGCCACTTGATAGGCAGAGCGCACCGAGAAAATACCTTTTTTTTTATCAAAATGCCAGATAAGGCGATCTGAGGGGCAGCGAAAGCTCAGAGGCAGTCGATAGATCAATTCGGCTTCATAAGGGGAAAGCCAATTCTGGATTAAGTCCTTCTTCCATTGCATTGTCTGATGATCAATTAGGGAGGCAACATAGTGTTCTGAGGCTCCAACCCCAGGGGGGGAAAAAACCTTGAAGGAATGAGGGAGAGGGAGCCAGCGATCTCCCCAAATTTTAACAGATCGCCCAACCCCGATCTGCCATCTCGAACCGTGTTCAAGAACCACCCGAGCTTCACACAAGCTTTTCCACACATAGGAAGGGTTGCTGCCAACAGGAGCAGAAAGGATCGACTCCGTAGGAAAATACCGAGCTTTCAGAATCTGAGCAACCAAAGAATTAGGATTATGAAAAATCCTCCACACTTGCTTCGCTAGCAGAGCAAGATTAAAGGAGTGCAAGTGGCGGAACCCCAAGCCTCCGTCAGATTTAGGGCTGCATAGTTTATTCCAAGCCAACCAATGTATTTTCCTTTTATCCCCCTGTTGACCCCACCAGTATCTAGCCATTTGTTGTTGTAAATCCTCACAAACGAATTTCGGGATGAGAAAGCAGCTCATCATATAAATTGGGATAGCTTGAGCCACCACCTTCAGCAGAATCTCTTTCCCAGCAAAACTCAAGAGGTTCCCCTGCCAACCTTGAAGCTTACTCCACAACCGCTCCTTCAAAATGTTAAAATTAGCAGATTTTGAACGGCCAGTAACAGCGGGCAAACCAAGGTACTTGTGATGTTGATCAACCCTCACAACACCCAAAGCATGCGACAGCTCCTCTTGTCTGTTCAAAACCACGTTGCCACTAAATGAAACACAACTCTTATCAAGATTGATCTTTTGACCGGAGGCAGCCTCATATTGTTGGAATAACAATTTGAGTTGGGAACAGTCATCATTTCTGGCCCGAGTAAAAACAAAGCTGTCATCGGCAAAAAGAAGGTGACTGACCCTGGGGGCAAAACGGGAGATCGAGGCCCCCATAATAAGATCCTGATGTTCCGCTTGGAGAAGCATGGCTGAGAAGCCTTCAACACACAAGAGGAATAAATATGGGGAGAGGGGGTCCCCCTGACGAAGGCCTCTGCTCGGAGTGAGATATCCAGTAGGATTACCATTAACTAAGAAAGAGTATGACACAGTCGTGACACAGCTCATAATCAGCTTCACCCATTGGGTATTGAAGCCCATGCTTAACATCATTTTCTCGAGGAAGGGCCACTCCACACGATCGTAGGCTTTGCTCATATCAAGCTTAAGAGCCATAAAGCCTTTTTTACCTTTCCTTAGCTTTTTCATTGCGTGCAGGGTTTCAAAAGCCACAATAGAGTTATCAGAGATCATCCTTCCAGGGACAAAGGCACTTTGATTTTGTGATATAATATCAGGTAAAATTTTCTTCAATCTGTTTGCAATCGCTTTCGCACCAATCTTGTAAATCACATTACACAAACTGATAGGGCGAACTTGCTGCATTCTTTTGGGGTTTTTGACTTTTGGGATGAGAGCAACGTGAGTGAAATTAAACTGTTTTGAGACGTTGCCAGATTGAAGGAAAGTTAAAACAGCTTTCACCACATCGTCACCCACCACCTCCCAATACTTCTGAAAGAACGCCGGTGACATGCCATCAGGCTCCGGAGATTTGGAAGGATGCATTTGGAAGAGCGCCTCCTTTATTTCCAAGGGAGTGAATTCCTCTAATAGGGACTGGTTCATATCCACAGTAACACGGTCCTTCACTGCATTGGCAAAATCACGCACCTGATGGCAACCTTGGGAAGAAAACAAATCACGGAAATAAGAAAGAACGGTATTCTCAACACCTCGTGCCGAGTTCTGCCAAATCCCATTAGCATCAAACAAACCAGACAAGTGATTTCTTTGTTTACGTGTTGTGGCCTTTTGGTGGAAGAAACGAGAGTTGCAGTCTCCAGCCTTTAACCAAATGGCCCTCGACCTTTGGCGCCAGTACAATTCGTTTTTAGAGTACAGAGTGTCCAATTGGTTGGTAAGGAGTTTGCGTTGTTCAGTCACTGAAGGGGAAGGAGAAGAGTTCAGTAGAGTGCCCAGTTTCTCACGGACAACTCCAATGTCTCTGCCAATGTTCCCAAAAGTAGATCTGCTCCATGCCAACAAATGCACACGAGTATTTCGTATCTTTTCCATCACAGCCGTAACAGGAGACCCACGACTCTGCAACCGCCAGGCCTCCTTCACCACGTTTTCACAAGCCTCGTTAGAAGCCCAGAACTCCTCAAATCGAAATCGTTTCCTTCGCTTTCTTTGGTGCCACTGTACTTCACCAACGATAAGCTTAATGGGGAGGTGGTCAGACTTACTAGGATTCAGATGAACCAGTTTAGATCCAGGGAAATGGTTGCACCACTCTGTATTAGCCAAAGCCCTGTCCAGCCGGACCCGGACCTCATTCGCACAGTTCCTCCACCAGGTAAAAGGAGGGCCAGAATAGCCTAAATCCTTAAGCAGACAATCATCCACTGCTTCTCTAAAGCCGCGCATTTGACGTTCACATCTAGGAGGGCCTCCCCATTTCTCATCCGCACAAAGGATCTCGTTGAAATCACCAATACAGACCCAAGGAGTGGGATTAGTGTTTGCTAAGCGACGCATCAGGTCCCAAGACTTATACCGATCAGCAGTTACAGGGAAGCCGTAAAATCCGGTGAGCCGCCACCACTCCTGACCCCCTACCCATTTTACGTCAACGTCAATG